CATACATACATACATACATACATACACATATACATATACATACACACATACATACATACATACATACGTACGTACATACATACATACATACATACATACATACATACATACACACATACATACACACATACCTACATACATACCTACCTACCTACCTACCTACCTACCTACCTACCTACCTACCAACGTACCTACCTAATACCTACCTACCTACCTACCTACCTACATACCTACATACATACATACATACACACACACACATGTACATACGTATGCATGCATACACCTACATACGCATACATATACACACACACACATACACACCCGCACACATGTACATAAGTACGCATGCATATACCTACATACGCATACATATACACACACACACACATACACACCAGCACACATGTACATACGTATGCATACATACACGTACATACGCATACATATACATGCATTTTTGCAAACAGACAGAATCGCGAATGAATCGCGCAATTCTGCATCACTAAGGCTGTGACTCCCTGGCTCCTCGGCAGGGCGGCAAGGAACAACGATCTCAACCGCTCGGAGCCCAACAAGCAGGCAGCTGAGGTGGATGACCTTAGTGAGGCAGAATCGCTGTCGTCCGCATCCCTCATACATACATACGTACGTACATATATACATGCATATATACATATACATATACATGTACATACACGTACGAGGATGTACAATACACATATGCATGCATATGCATCTGCATACGCATACATGGCATACATCCCAATACATCGCTGATGAATCACGCGATTCTGCCGCACTAAGTGGATGACGCCAGACGGCCGCGCAGCATGTCGTTGACCGCGGTGTAATTCGGGTGGTGGAGCAAGGGTTCGGCGTCCAGGTCAGCGCTTCCAGTGATGGAGTTGAGGATGTGCCTGCGGTCGTCCTCCACGCTCGCCTCACCTTTCTCCAAAGAAACCTCTAAGGACCTCTCCAATAGGGCCGGCGGAAAGAATTTCTCTCGGAATGCCTTGTAGCCGTGCCCGCGGAGAGCGCCGCCTCGTGAGTCTCGGACCGACAGGCCATCCACCAGCGCAGCGGCAGCACCGAAAGGATTCTGGAAAGCCGTATATATGTCATAGCGGTAATCCCGATGTGAGGCGAGGTCCATGAGAGATATGTACACCTCGAAACAGCACCAAACGCGTGTGAAGCACACGCCACCCACGTCGACCACGGACACAGTGCCTTCCGCAAGGCACATCGCGCGGTGAAAACTTGTTGCTGCCGGGTCCTTGGTGACAGCGCCGTCCAAGGCATGCTGGTTGTTCGCATAGGCGCAGACCCAATGGCATGCACGCTGGGACGGCACAAGGTCTTGCTGTAAGAAATGGGGGTCAGATTGGTCAAGCTGCTCAATCGCCGACTGCATGCCTTTCCAAGATCCCAAGCCGCGATCCTTGGCATGCTCGCGGAGGCACGTGACGAAGTCCTGGACCGGCTCGCCCCACCAATGGCTGACGAACCAGACAGGTTTCTGCGGGCCCCTCGACATGATTTCCATCAAGCTACACGCGCGACTCTTCGTCGCCGGAAGGATCACGTGCGCCGTCGTATCATAAAGATTGACGCGGTCTGATGTAAGGAAGACCTTGATGCCGGATTCCTGCGGATCGGGCACCACCTCGTAGCCGGTGACATCGCCGAAGCGGAGGCCTGTCCAGCGTTCCGCCTCACAGCGGCGCCGGATATGTGTCGAGACCTTCTCAAGCTGCGAGAGCAGCAGCGCTCGCAGAGCGGTGTCCTCGACGGCGCAGCCTCCGTCATGCAAGTCATCGAAGGCGGCTTGCTCCTCGGGTATGAGATCATAGCTCCGTGGGAGACAAGTGAGACAAGCGCCTATCATGCAGAGATAAGTGAACGAGCACCGGCGGCGCCAGAGCTACGTATGCTTTCGGCGCAGGCACACCAGCAACTTAGAGCCTGGGCCAAAATGACCGCGGCAGAACCATCAGCTAGCACAGTGAGCAGCACAGACACTGCGACCTGATCCCTCAAACCCCAAGCCCCAAGCCCGAAACCTGAAGCCTAAGCTTGGAGACGTGGCACCCCCAAACCCAGCCCCAAGCACCCTAAACCCTAAACCCTAAACCCTAAACCCAAGGATCCTAAAGCCCTAAACCCTGAAGCCCGAAGCCCTCAACAGCCCACCCAAGTCCCTGAGACTCAAAACCGAAGCCACAAAAGCCCGAAACCCTAAACCCCAAACCCTAAACCCTAAACCCTAAACCCTAAACCCCAAACCCCAAACCCTAAACTCTAAACCCAAACACAAGGCTCTTGAGATTCGGCTCTGGGGCTCCGGCGAGCGTGCTCAGAAGCGTCGAATGCCATAAGCGCATCATGGCCACAAAGGCTTTAGGCTTTAGGGTTTCGGCTTTAGGGTTTCGGCTTTAGGCTTTAGGGTTTCGGCTTTAGGGTTTTGGGTTTCGAGTTTAGGGTTTAGGGTTTAGGGTTTGGGGTTTAGGGTTTAGGGTTTAGGGTTTTGGGTTTAGGGTTTAGCGTTTAGGGTTTAGGGTTGCTTCTATGGGGCCTATGTAGCATAGGGTTTAGGGTTTGGGGAGGATTCTGGTTGTCATTCGGTTTTACTTGCTGCATTCTTGAACGACCCCAACACCCAAAATCCAAGAGTTTCTGGCTCCAGGGCTATTTAGGTTTGGGGCATGGGAGTGCAGGAGGGCTTCGGGTTCAGGCTAATTCGCTCCGCCATTGGCACCCCTCATAGCCAGACTTCAACCAACCCTAAACCCTGAACCCTAAACCCTAAACACCTAAACCCTAAACACCTAGACCCTAAAGCCTTGACCCTAAGGCGCTCAAGCCCCTAAACCCTTAAGGCCCCAAGCCTCTCAAGAGCCCGAATGCCCAAGCCCCAAAGCGCTAAAGCCCTAAAAGCCCTAAAGCCCTAAAAGCCCGAGAGCCCTGTAAATCACACCACGGACCTGTCAGCCCCGGCCCGATGCCAGCGGGCGCTTGGCGCAGCGCGCCAGCGCCTTTGACCCAAAAAGTTGACCCTAGACCCTAAACCCTGAACCCTAAACCCTAATCCCTAAACCCTAGACCCTAGACCCTAAACCCTTAAACCCTAAGCCCTAGACCCTAGACCTTGAACCCTAAACCCTAAATAGCCTCAGGGGTTTGGGCTTCGAGGGCTGTGGGGCTTCAGGGGGTTTAGGGCTTCGGTGGTTTAGGGTTAGGACCAGGGTTTAAGGTGCCGTGGGAATACAATGCTTCTAAAGGTTCGATAACCGCCTGGAGAAAGGGTTTATGAAGTTGTTAGGCCGTGAAAAATTGCATTGTTATGAGATCTGAGCCGTTATTTGGGCCATGCGATTTTGGAGTTGGTGGATGTAGTCTAGCGCGGTGAAGGGCCAATTTGGGGCTTTATAGTTTATTGTGGATTGAGGGGGCTTGAGGTTTAGGGTTTGAGTTTCGGTATGGTGCGCCCTGTCTTGAGTGCTGGGTGTTAGGAACTGTGGGCTTTTGTGGGCGAACTGTTTCCGGGTCCGAGGTCTAGGAAATTTTCAGGTGGGTAGTTACTGTTATAGGAGCCTTTTAGAAGGTCTATATACCTTATAGAAGCCCTATATACCCTTTCCGCGTGCGAGAGTGGGCCTGTGCGATTCAACAGGCTTTCGAACCAAGACCTACCTACCTTTTTAGGATTCTTTACTATGGTTTATATATATATATATGTATATCTATATATATATATATGCAATTCCTTTAAAGAGGTAGGGCAGGGCTCGAATAGTCAACACTGTACCCAAAGCGTAACCCTCAAAAAAAAGGCTTTACAGCCGAAGCCACCAAAACCCTGCTCACCCCAAAACCCTAAACCCTAAACCCCAAAACCCTAAACCCTAAACCTTAAACCCTAAACCCCAAAACCCTAAACCCCCCCCAAAACCCTGCTCACCCCAAAACCCTGCGATCTGAAACTGCAGAAACCCTGCACTGTCAGCCTTGGCTTTGGACTCCCAGAGTTCGTCTTCAACCCACGACGAATTAAGAAATAGGGTTTTGGGGTATATTATACTATAGTTATAATAAGGAGCCCCCATAAAATAGTATATTTGGGGGTATATTCTAGTATAACTATAATAAGGAACAAACCCCCCGAAACAGCAAAGGAACTCATTACGGCCCCTATGTTAGGCTTTCGTGTGTGCCTTAAACCTGCCCGGTTGCCAAACCCATAGAGACCCAGGCTCCTCACAAGTTATGAATCCAGGCCTTCCTCTGTTTAGGGAAGGCATGTTTACGGTTTAGGGTTTAAGGTTTAGGCATGATTTGATTCGCTTCACAAGTACCAATCCCGGGCTCCTCTTTCTAAGGAAGGTATGATCGCGCAGACCGTGCTTTCAGACCACAAAAAACTGCATGGCATGGAAAACACCGTTCTGCACGAGGTTTTCGCATGTTCCGCTCTGCATAGCAGACGATTCTGTCTGTCTTCCGCGCTCTTTGCTTTCTGCACCGAATCCGGCTGCAGATTCGGTGGTAGGGTTTTGGTTGCGACTTCGTTGTAAGTTCAATAGACGTGGCCTGGGTGGTATATTCTTCACTGCCTGAAGCCGTTGCTTTTGCTATCTTCTGCCTTGCACATGTTGCGTTATTTACGTCTTTGCCGTTGTCGGCATGTTGCACTTTTGACATCTTTGCCTTTGGGTCCGGGTGGGGTACACAGGCAAAACCTTCAAGTCTGCACCACCTCCAAGGCTGAAGCCAAGCGTTTAAACCCTAAACCCTAAACCCATCTGTGGTACCTATATACCCCAAATACTAGGATTCATATAAAGACCCCTAATAAAGACCCAAGGTTTCTTAATCAGGTTCCTACAGTACCTGAACAAACGAATCGCTGCTGTCTGGGCGAGGGTTCCTTGTTCGCGCCGGGCATATCCCGTCCTACCCCGTCGCAGACAGCCCGAGCTTTCGCAAAACATCAACCACGCACCTAATATAGAGGCCTTGATAATTAGATTTGGGATTGGGGAGTACATGCGGACAGACGTCTGGGGCGAGTATTGGGGGGTATATTGTACTACAACCATAATAAGGAGCCCCCAAAACACTATTCTAATTATATTAAGGCCCCTACATTAACAAGCACCATCGTAAGTTACAATCGCAGCAGCAGTAGCAAGACCTTCGGGCAGCCAACGGCTCAGTCATTGTGAGCGTCATCACCAGACACGAAACATCAGAACACGTACCTTACCGATAAAAGCTTCTTCCCAGAACATAACCCTAAACCCTAAATCCTACTGAACACGCAGGGGTTGCAGGATTTATCAGGAATGGAACAAAGTTGCGTGCCTTTCCCCCTGAGAGGCGGGCTCGCGGAGGATCGCTGGGGTTTCGGATGTGTGCCGACCTCCAGGGCTTGGGGCTTAGGCTTTAGGGGTTCAGCCCAGGATCTAGCCCAAAGCCTGGAACCTTGAACTCTAAACGATAAACCCAGAAACCGGAACTTGCTTTGCTATGCTCTTCTGCTCACGGGTAGTTCTCTAAATCAGGGGTCCCTTTCTAAGGGTGCCGTACTATGTTGGGGACCTAAAAAGGGACCCTGTTTTGGAGAACTACCCTCACAATGAACCTTACAAATCCGCTCTGAACTCGGGTTCAGCTGAATCTCAACGCAGAATTTAGGGGTTAAGGGGTTCCGAGGGCTTTGGGTTTGGGGGGTTTAGGGGTTTAGGGTTAAGGGGCGTAGGCTTTGGGGTTACATTGGTTTCTAGCAGGCAGGCAATGCCGTGGGGCTGGCATGAACGGTTTAGGGTTTTGGGTCTTGGGCCGGAAGAGTTTCTTCCAGAGGTTCAACCAGGCAACACCTGAAAGCCAGAACCCTGAAATCTGAAAACCGACAGTCCGTGAAAACCCTGAACATGGAGCCCTCACGTTCGAAAACCTTAAGCCATGCAAAATGAAAACCTGACGACTCTACTTGCCTACAACCTGAAACCCCAAGCGTAAAAACCGTCCAAAACCCGAAGCCCCAATACGGTTTAGGGCTTAGGGCTTAGGGTTTAGGGTGGAAGAAGCCTCGACCGGCCACAAACCTGCGAATATTGATATTGGAGGGGCCTTGGTAATCACAGCAGGGGCTCAGTGGCTCTTACACTAGGGTTTAGGGTTTAGGGTTTAGGGTTTAGGACAACTATAGAAACGAGCCCTAATATGAACAACGTTGGAAAGTATTTGGGTAGTGCTCTAAAAGAGGGTCCTTTTGCAGGGCCTTTTTACAAGGGTGCCGTACTATTCTGGGGACCTAAAAGAGATCCTAATTTAGAGAACTACCCATTTAGGCTCTTCGGAGCCACTGGAAAACCAGTGGGCCGCAACGTAGGATGCACCATGATAGCGCCTTGTGCTGCATCTAGGGTTGTAGGTTTTAGGATGTAGGGTTTTTGTAGCTTACGTCGCTTTCCACCTCAGGCTTCAACACCCACATGTCTCTTACGCTCCCGCGTCAATCTCCAACTTCATTGCAGTTTCATGTGGGGGTCTCCATAATTCGAAGAGGGTATGGGTAGTTCCCTAAACTAGGGTCCCTTTTGTTGGGTCCCCAATATAGTACGGCACCCTTATAAAGAGGACCCGAAAACGGGATCCCAATTTAGAGAACTACCCATGTACTGTACTTGCAGGGATTCCTGGCAGGGCATCACAGGCTTTTGCAG